GGTGGGGAAAACACGTAGTGGCACATGGTAGATGGCACTAAAGATAGCGTGGGGCTGGGGGGCGGCGGGGGGCTGCTCCCCTGCGGGGGGCAAAGGAGCCTGCAGGGTTCAAACCCATCCCCACCTCCCAGGCTCCCCGGCACGGCCGGCACCGGCCACCTTCAGTGGGTCACCACCCATACGGTGAGATGCCGGAGCCGCCGGCAGCCTGGGGAAAGGATGTCCCTTGGGGACAGACCCGTGCCGTGGGTGACCAGACCTGTTACAGTGACCACCACCTTTCCACCCCAAAGGTGTCCCCACCGCCGTGGCTGGGGCCGGGCGATGCCATCTGGCGTCCCGACCTCAGGAGACCTCGGCAGGGCGCCGCTGCCACCCCCCTGTCCTTGGTGCGTCCCCCCCCAAAAAGGACAAGCCCCTGCTCGCAGCAGGGGAGCGTGAGCGGGGCCGTGGGAATGGTCCCCACCTCGCCTGCCGCGTGTCCCTGCGGGAAGGGGCCGTCTTACCCACAATCATCCCAACCTCGCACCGGTGATCTTCGTAGTAGCAGGAGATCATCGTGGCCACCGTGTCGTTCACCATCGCCACCACGTCCATCTCGAAGTCCTGGGGAGGGGAGAGGGACCATCGGCGTCTCGCCCGGGGGTCCGGGCTGTCCCGCAGCAGGGGGTTCTGGGGTGGGGGGTCCCCGAGGGCTGAGGGTGCATGCACGTGTCGTGCGCACGCGTGTGCACACGCATGGAACAACCCTTCCCGGGGACACGCTGGGCTCCAGCGGCCCCATCGCGGGGACAGCCGGGGGCGCTGGGGTCTCCCCCCGCTGCGGTACCAGCACAAACCCTACGATCATCTCACCCCTCGCCGTTTGATGGCGTCTCTCAGGAGCCCGACCACGTTGTTCCCTTCCGCGCCGGAGGCTTTGAAGCCCTTGGTCCAATTCAGGAGGATGCCCTGGAGCGAGGGTAAGACCGAAATGGGGCTGTGGGTGTAGCTGGGTCGTGGGGACTCCCGAGCCCTCGTGCTGCCCGGCCACCCCCTCACCTTGTCGATGTCCTCGTGCCGCACGGGGAAGGAGAAGGTGAAGCCCAGGGGCAGCTTTTTGTGCTTCATCTGGTGCTTGTCCAGGAAATCGGAGATGCACTCGGAGATATAGTCGAAAAGCTGGAAGAGAGGAGGTCCAGCCTTCGCCGGGGGCCGTCCCCCATCCTCCTGCTGCCCGCGGCCGGCCACCGTCCCCACCACGGGTCCTCCGAGCGTGGCCACCTCCCCGCCACCCCCCCGGCTTCTGCCAGCTGGAGGGATGAGGGACGTACCCACCGGCGTCCCCACCGAAACACGGCACGGTGTGCCCCTGCCCGGTGACGGGAGGGGGACGGGATGCCCTGTGTGCCCAGCTCACCATCTCAGCCGTCCCCGTCATGGCATCCTCCGGGATGGAGTACATCTGATGCTTCGTCTTCACCTTCCACTGCCCTTCCTCCCCCTCGCCCACTTTCACCAGCATCACGCGGAAATTGGTGCCGCCGAGGTCCAACGACAGGAAATCTCCGACCTCTGCAGAGCCGGAGGGGAGACACAAGGCGAGCGGCTCAGGGCGGGTCTTGGCCTCCCGCACCGAGCTCAGCGAGGTCCGGGGAAGAGGTGACACGGCAAAGGACTGGGAGCGATGCCCGGCCAGCCCGGCAGCACCGTACCTGAGCCCTCGGGTGTGGAGCGGACGTAGGTGGGCAGCATTTTCACGGAAGCTTCCTCGTGTGTCTCCAGCTTTAGCCCTCGGTCCATCTCTTTTTGCATCCGGTACATCACCTTCTTCAGGTCCTCCTCCTTCAGCCGAAACTCCGACAGGATCTGTTCCACCTGCGGCAGGACGGACGGCATCGGCTGGGGACGGGGGATATGGGACCCGGGTGGCCTGAACCCCAATGAATAATCCAAATTTTCCTTCCCCTCACCCCGGTTTTCCCCACCAGCACACACGACACCCCGAAACACCTTATCCCATCTCTCCGCTATCCTGCCTCCAACTAACGGACACGCTGGTGAACCCGCGGGGCTGGCACGAGCCGCTGCTGGCCCCAAATCCTCTCCCGGCGCTGCCCGCGAGACATCCGCGGTCGGCACAGGGGTCCCCGCGCCCTCGCCTTCAGCCGATTGATTTTCCACAAGCTCGGACGGTCGCGTTGAAGCCGGTGCCGTTCCAGCAGGGCTGGGACCAGCGACCTGGGACGTCCCCTCCCGCCGAATCCCAGGGTCTTTCCCAGCAAGGAGCGCTTCCAGCGACGCCAGTTAGGAGCTCAGCAGCCCCCACCGAGGACGTGGGACCCCTCTGCGTCTGCAACGAGGATGCTGCGTCCTCCTCAGTCCCCCGGGGAGCCGGGAGCGTCCCTATCCCCCTATTCCCCCCCGGGGAACCATGGGTACCT